ACAGGATTGTTTGATATGATAAAAGCAGCAGGGGGTTCTTAGCCCTCCCTTATTACCCCTCATTGCTCGCTAACAGCTCAACACAGAGCCTTGAACAGTTTTTAACAAGCACCAAACCTTATAATGTTAACATGTCATGGTTCCCGATGTTCTGTAGGGTCCATCAGCCTCGGGTCACTCTGCAGACTTCCAAAATGTTTACCATGATACAAATGACCAAGACCCAATGCTGTGTTTTAGCATCATCTTTTACTTTCAAAAGACTGTTTCTTTTTTAAGTGTTAATTTAGTGATAGTTAAGACATAGTTCATGTGGAGAGAGGAAATGAGCAGAGGACTTTAATTATAGAAATATTGAGCAAACATCTTTGTTTTTGACACATCTTCTTTTCATTTTCTTGTCTTTTTTAATCATTTTGTTTATATGACATGTCAATCAACATTGCTGAATCTCTGCACATGTTTCTTTCACAGGATGCAAAAAGATAGCAGCTGCACATTTTTTTTTTTTTTTTATATATATATAAAATTAGGTGGAAGATATCCCAAAACAATTCTACAGTGAACTTGGCTGAGCCAGGTAATTATAGAACTGTATCATTTTATAATTTAAAAATATACTGGTGAAATGGCCACTAAGAGGCCTGCAGAAATAAATTTAGAATTATTAATTGAAAATGAAAAATATTGATATTTGTATTTATATTGCACGTGAGTTGCTTAATGTAAAGCATCCTGCAGCTCATTTGAAACGCAAAAAAAAACTCTATGAAGTGTCTCAACCTTTTGGAACAATCAGAACAGCCAATCAGAATGCAAATAATGCATCTCACAATCACATTGAATTTACATACTTTGTCAGTTTTCTGAGCCATGACAACAAATGGGAGATGGTACAGCAAATGTAAAGCCAACCAAAGCCTTGAAATTTCCCTGGATATTTTCCGTTACAATGTTGTTTGGTAACCCAATATTAACGTTTTTCACTAAAGAAGGACAAAATACATGTGAAGTCTTGTCCTTTACTATTTTTTATTTACCAGAAAACTACTGTTTGTATTTTCTACACATATTGAAAAATGACAGATCCTATTTTACTGTATTTTAATTTAAGGCAAACATAAACAACCAGACTGAAACAGTTGAAAAGTTGTCTTGAGTGTTGGCTCTGGGTTTTTGTAAGCCGTGTTCATTAGTTAGTGTCACTGTGAGCCTTTTGCACAGTAATACACAGCTGTGTCTTCAGTCTGCAGATTCTGTCCTTGTAATGTTATTGTGTTGGTTCCAGTGTCTCTGGAGATGCTGAACTTGTTTTTCAGTTTATCACTGTAAGCTGGGCTCCCCCAACTATAGATAGTTCCAATCCACTCCAGAGCTTTTCCTGCAGGCTGTCGGATCCAACCTGTGTGCCAACTAGTAACAGAATATGAGACCTTGCAGTCGATGGTCAGACTCTGGCCTGGGCGGGCCACCTTGGAACCAGGCTGGGTCAGTTCATAACAGTGAACACCTGTTGGTCAAAAATACAACATTATGATATATATAAACATTTATTAAACATGATCTATGAACTGAAATGTGTTGCTTACTGAGTAACTCACAAGATGCAGCTGCCAGCAGGAGCAGTAGAGATGTAGAGAACATGGTTGGTGTTGAAGTTGGACCTGTGGGATCTTCTCTGTTCTCCACAGCTTAATAAAGGGTCACAGGTTAATAGAGAGATCCTGGGCGGGAGCATGAATTTGCTTATGTAGTGATGCATGAGAGTCTGAGCTATTCATGATACGGGGAGGTTCAGCATGTGCAGCACAGAAGACTTTAGAATTTACTTGGTTTAAAGTGTTTTTTTTCTTTTTTTTTTCATTTTTTTGAATTTCTGTAAATATTGCTTTTTGGCTTTAAAATTAAAAATAAATAAATATTTTGTAATCAACCCCTTTATTTAAACTGATCCAGTTAAATCCAATGATTCATCCTGAAATGTCTTTGGTTATTTAGTTAGTGATGTTAATGATATATGTTTGGAATATAACATTACAGTAAATGACTGGCTACTATTTGCATTACTTTCACAGTAATTTACTGAACCATATTAACAATAAATAACAGAGAAATAGCAACTGTATACTGTATATTATATTACATAACTACTGTAAAAGTAATGTGATCCAGCAGGTAGTTACTTACTGCAAATTTACATATAAAAAATAATGTTTAAATATATCTAGACTTACAAAATATGAGTAAAGTAAAATATCAGGTCAAAGCAAGATCACTGCACATATTTGTTGACTGTTTTGCATTGTATATGCACAAAATATAACACATTTTACAGATAGTTTAACATACAATTTGCATAACCTAAAACCAGCAATTGCAGTAGGCCATACAGTTTTTTGTAAACACTTCAGTGTTCCAGCATTTAAACAATGATAAAAAATCCAGTGTAAAATATGAATTTTAAAGACCAAAACCTGAATATTATTAATTATTTTTATATATGAAATGTTTAGACCTTTTTAGCTCAATATTAACCTCACAATAATTTGCTGTGTTATTACAAGAAATTGATTTTATGATGATTTCATTTCAGAATAAATTGATAAATATTGTATTTTACTGTGAAATGAAATTATTCATAAATGCTGTGAAATCCTGGTAATAACAAGTGATGTACATTTTCAGTGCCTCCAGAATCTAAAATCATAAACTGCACATTGGTGAGTTTCTTCTGTCACACTTTACTTAAAGGGTTTCTACATATCACATTAATAATATCTTAAATAAACACTTCATAACATGCGAAGAATCTTTAATCATGCAAATCATTCTTTGAAAATCCATGGTTCTATATAGGTTCAGTTTCTTTACTAAAGAACCCTTGGAGAACCAAGTGTATCTTTGAACTGGTTCATCCAGCCCCAGATCAGTAAGTGATTATCACGGTTTTGCTTATATTCACTAACAAAGTCGCACAGGCAGCTGTTCCCAGTAGAACACATAGCTTGTCAAACCAATTATAATCATCCTTCTGATTCTGATTTACATCTTTTTGTTATGCAATGTCAGTCCAACTTTTGTTTTATTATAATTCAAGATTAGAATTTATGTTGGATAAACAGTGTTTGAAAGGTGTTTTTGGGTAATACCTTACTTACTTGCTAAGTAACACTGATATAACCATGTCATAAATATGCCATTATGTCATATGCGGTCATTGTTTTGTTCAGTAGTATAACATTGTCATGTTACCGCTACCTGTAATTATCATGACAGATGCAAATGTTTAATGGCGTAACAGAGTATGCTTAGCAAAAATTAGCATATGACAGAAGCTGTCATAACAACTATCATAACTACAATAACATATGACATCTACTATGATGTTTATGGCATGGTTATGTCAACATTATGTAGCAGGGCTCAAATAATGTTTTTATTTGATTTTTGTATTATTCATTTAAAAATGCTTCTATGGATTGATTAATGAATGCATGAAACAGAAGATATAAGATAAAAATGAACATGGAGAAGGATGCTGAGATGAACATGTGAGCTGTTGAGGGTGTTTTTGTTCAGGTCAGCTGGGTGGTTGTAACGCTGTGGCGCAGTAATAAACAGCTGTGTCCTCAGACTGAAAGTTCTGGCCTTGTAAAAACACTGTGCTGCTGGACGTGTCCTGACTGAAACTGATCTTGCTCTTCACTGTGTCTTTAATATCAGTGCTACCACCACTACACAGATATCCAAGATATTCCAGTGCTTTCCCAGCAGGCTGCCGTATCCAGTTAATACAGTAGCTCGAGTCTGAGATCTTACAGGAGATGGAGAACGATTCTCCAGGTTTTACTACCTTAGAAGCAGCCTGAGTGAGCTCCACACAGTCTACACCACCTGACAATAACAATGAGAGAACATGGAGTCAATTCATTTCACAGCTATGTGTAAATTCTCAATTCAAAACTAATCAAAACTGATCTAATTCACCCAGAATGGAGACTTACCGAATGCTGCTATCAGTAACAACAGTAGCACTGAGGAGGTCATTATTGTTTTGTGTTAAACTAAACTGAATGAAGCTGCTCTTCTCCTCCTCAGCAACACAAGCAAGCCTTTTGTGTAAGAGGGGCAGGTGGAGGATTTACATGTAGAGCATCATATTCACTATTATTACTTCTCAACATTTGGTTTCACTCCCTACAATATCATTTCATGCTTTAGGAAAACATGTCACACCATTAAAACAAACCAAAAATGCTCATAATCCTTATTTTGTTACAGCTCCATAATTCCAACTTTTACTTTGGCTTTTGACTGATCCATTTTTAAACACAACTAAAATCCCCACAAATGTCCTCATTTATCCATCAACAGGCCATGAAATTCAGTTCACAAGACTGCATTTAAATGTAGAGCGCTGACCTTCAACATCTGATAAAACTACATTAAAACCAAGGAAAACATGTCACAAATGTCCTCATTTATCCATTAACAGAACATGAAATTCAGTGCACACGACTACACAGCATTCACATATAAAGCGCTGGCCTTCAACGTCCAATAAAACTACATTAAAACCGAAATGCTATTATTGTGTGGTTTATTTATGAGTAGCAGTGCTTAAACAGTGGTTTGTGGGACACTTTTTGGATGTAGCCCCCTGTAGATGCTTATCTTGCACATCACTTTCATTCAACTAAATATCTGTTGGGTTCACCTACATTTTTCCTAAAGCTAACCCTGAACCTAACATCCCCCCCTGAAACCTAAACATAACCATCACCCTCATCCTAAACTTAACCCTAGTACTAATCCCATCCCTGATCCAAACACTGCTGAGAAACAGACTTCCACCAGATAGCTTGTTAATAATATAAACATCTGTAGATATTTTGTTGGGTGTATCCAGCTAAAGTGGAACTGTGGTTTGTAAATCTCTTTTTCTGAGATTTTATGTCTGCTTGTTTGCATTTTAAGCTTATGATCACTACCTGAGCCACTCACTCGATGTGAGGCTAAAGTTGGAGATGAATGTCATAAGTATTTGACCAAATATTGCATGTATTTGGTTTCATAATGGTTTTGTTCATAAATTCCTTTAATGTGTGGAATTAAAAAGGCATTTTTAACTCATTATTATTTGCTTTGCTTTAAAAATTGATGCAGAGAGCAAAATTTCCACTGGTAACTCTTTACTTGACCCCTGACATAACTAACATGTCCAAGGTTGAGTAGTAATGGAATAACTGTAAAAGCATCATGTGAACAGTTCACAAAATAAAACTAACTGTATTCTATTATCGTTACCAAAAAAAAAACAAAAACAGTAATTAGATCACAGAAACATTATGAAAACAGGCTGATTACGAGCAAAAAATATTGAAATTTATGCAGTATTTCCTCAAGTGAGCCATCATTAACTAAAAGCTCCAAAACGTGAAAAGAAAGCAAAGTCTTGGGAGCAGTAAATCAGTTTCTTTTTTAGATATATGATTTCTTTCTTCAATGACTCTCTAATGATGGGTGCAAAATGTTAATATGTGTAAAATGTCATTACTTTTCACAGAGTCAATCAGCTCCCACTTAGTTTTGGTGTGAAATGAATGTTTTTTAAAGCAAGTTTGAAGTTTAGGTTGAATTCTGTGGACTGCTAAAACAGCAGAAAACTAAGGGAGCATCTACAAATTACATTGCAATGGATGTTGACTTTAAAAAGACAAGTAATCCCAAAAGTAATCAGACTACTTTACATTAAGAGAGAAATCCTTTGGATTAGGTTACAGATTACATTTTCTAACAGGCAGTCAGTAATCTACCATTTCACACTAACCCTCCCAACCCTGAACATGTCATGGAAGATATAAAGTGCTGTTATGAGCTGTCAAGACAGATTATGTTAAGTCATGTCATGTTAACATTATCAATATTTGTTTCAATATTTATTGTAATGCTGTTACAGTGATGTAATGATGGATAACTAAATTAGAGTTTACCAAAACTAGCTTGTGAACTGTTATGACATCAAATACTGTGCCATCTGTCAAGAATATTAACAGTAATGTGAACATGGTTACAATATATGGCATCTATCATGATATGATGTTTGCATTTTTGATGTATAAACACTGAAAAATGACTAAACCTATTTTAATGTAATTTATTTGAATCCAGCCATGAGCAACCAGACTGAAACTAGCTTATTAGTTGTCTTGAGTGTCGGCTCTGGGTTTTTGTAAGCCGTGTTTATTAGTTAGTGTCACTGTGTGTCTCTTGCACAGTAATACACAGCTGTGTCTTCAGTCTGCAGATTCTGTCCTTGTAATGTTATTGTGTTGGTTCCAGTGTCTCTGGAGATGCTGAACTTGCTTTTCAGTTTATCACTGTAAGTTGTGCCCCCACTGCTACTGATACGTCCAATCCACTCCAGAGCTTTTCCTGCAGGCTGTCGGATCCAAGCTGAATAATAGCTTGTAACTGAATATGAAACCTTGCAGTCGATGGTCAGACTCTGGCCTGGACGGACCACCATGGAAGCAGGTTGAGTAAGTTCCTCACAGTGAACACCTGTTGGTCAAAAATACATTATGATTAGATGCATCAAATTAATGCAGTTTGAAATTGATCTAAAACTTAATGGCACTCTGACTGAGTGAAATGTGTTGTTTACTGAGTAACTCACAGGATGCAGCTGCCAGCAGGAGCAGCAGAGATGTAGAGAACATGGTTGGTGTTGAAGTTGGACCTGTGGGATCTTCTCTGTTCTCCACAGCTTAATAGTGAACTTCAAGGGAAGTATTTGCTTATCTAGTGACCCATGAGATGCAAAGCTATTTAAAACATGGAGGGCAGTATTTTTATACAGCGCATGTTTAATAACATATGAAGACATTAAGAAGACTAGACCTTACAAAGGATCATGTTTTATTTAAAACTGCAATAATACATCAAATCTTTTTTTGTAACAATTCTGCATATTATTAGATATTAAAAATAATAACAGCTAATGTTAATCTATCTCATTATATCCAAAATTAAATATGTTGTTGGAACAAAACCTCGTATCTCCAAAATAGTAACTTTACAGGAGAAACAAAAAGCATACTTTACTTTTAATGTAAGTCAATAGAACCAGACTTTTTTCCAAGTAATTTTTTTTGGTCGATTCATCATGAAATTTATACGCAACGTGAAGGGCATATTGCATATTTTACAATATATTAAGTATTAATTTTTGTTTTCCAGACATTTCTTCCTGGCTTGCTTACCAGTTACAAGGAACTTTCCAAACCAGATGGATGAATATGTTTTTAAAGTGAAGGTAATTAATGACAGTAAAGAAGCTGGTGTTGGGGATTTAGCAGAGTAAGAATGAATACTGAACTCACAAAACATACAGTATAAATCATGAGATTAAATAATGGCAATGTTTATAGTGTCTGTATAGTGTTTTTGTACAGCTGTCAATTACTGAGCTCTCAGACTGTGTGAGAATAATCTGAGAGTGGACACCTTAACAATGACACAAAGACACAGCAGGTTAAATGTGGTTGGTCAGTTTACTGCATTAATCTGGTTCCTCATTGAGAGAAATAACAGACTCACATCCTGCAATCGGCAGCAGCAGTAAAGACGTGAGGAACATGGTGTTTGTGGTTCCAGAGCTGGTTAGATTAACAGATTCTCTCCAAACTGCCTCTCATTCACTCTACAAATGGAGAAGGAGGTTGATGAAAAATTTGCATAACAAGTGCAGAAACTGCTGCACTGGCATTAAGAGAACAGCAGACAGGATTGCTTTTGTGAGTAAAGGGCGCCCCCTACTGGAACATAAATAAACCATGAGCTGAACTGAGGTCCTTTTAAAGTTCACTGTTGAGAAGACACAGACTGTTTAAATGAGGACAAGTTCAGAAGAAAGTGAATGGAAAACAGCTTCAGTGCTTGATATATTACCAGTATGAATATTTTCTGTTATACTTTTACAATTTTATGCTATAGTTTGAAAACCCTCCATCAAACATCATCTACAGAGAACACACTTAAAAATCAAATTTAACTAGATTAAATTAAATTATACAAAGTTTCTAGTTTTTTTGGGTTTTTTTTGTTTTTTTTAGAAATATTCAAACACATAAAAAATAAAATGTTCCATAACTTCTGCACAGGGTACATGTCCCCTCTCACACCCAAGTATCTAGTGCCTTACTGTATCTATAAAATAATCAGTGTACACTTCATCTAGAACCCCACCAGTCTGATTTGGTCATTGCAGTTGATCATTCTAGCTAATGGCTTTTCTGTACTTTATAGAATACATAGTGGTGTGAATCTGTAAACTGACAGCCAATCACAATTCATTTTTTTTATCTTAAAAAATATTTCATGTATTAAGAAGGATTCACTTTGATATACTATACAGCAAATTGAAATGATCATTTTCACATTCACCAAAAAATGAAGGTTCAGCCTGTTTTAGAGATCTAAAGTTTAACTGTGCACTGTTTACTTCAGTAACATTGAGCTCATGTATTTCTGTGGAAATCTGAATATATAACGAAACTGGAAGTGAACTTGATTGTCATCTTCGTAGGTCAGTAAGACATTTATAAAAGTGTTATTATTGTGTTCAAATGCTTTACTTTATTGTGTCAGTTGTACAGGATTGTTTGATATGATAAAAAGCAGCAGGGGGTTCTTAGCCCTCCCTTATTACCCCTCATTGCTCGCTAACAGCTCAACACAGAGCCTTGAACAGTTTTTACAAGCACCAAACCGTAAAATGTTAACATGTCATGGTTCCCGATGTTCTGTAGGGTCCATCAGCCTCGGGTCACTCTGCAGACTTCCAAAATGTTTACCATGATACAAATGACCAAAACCCAATGCTGTGTTTTAGCATCATCTTTTACTTTCAAAAGACTGTTTCTTTTTTAAGTGTTAATTTAGTGATAGTTAAGACATAGTTCATGTGGAGAGAGGAAATGAGCAGAGGACTTTAATTATAGAAATATTGAGCAGACATCTTTTTTTTTGACACCTTCTTTTCATTTTCTTGTCTTTTTTTAATAATTTTGTTTATATGACATGTCAATCAACATTGCTGAATCTCTGCATGTTTTATGTGTAAATCTTCATATTAAACAAAAAATTTGCAACTGCACATTTTTTTTATAAAATTATGGGTGATGATATCCCAAAACAATTCTACAGTGAACTTGGCTGAGCCAGGTAATTATAGAACTGTATCATTTTATAATTTAAAAATATACTGGTGAAATGGCCACTAAGAGGCCTGCAGAAATAGGTTTAGAATCATTAATTGAAAATGAAAAATATTGATATTTGTATTTATATTGCACGTGAGTTGCTTAATGTAAAGAATCCTGCAACTCATTTGAAACTCAAATACAACACTATGAAGTGTCTCAACCTTTTGGAACAATCAGAACAGCCAATCAGAATGCAAATAATGGATCTCACAATCACATTGAATTTGCATACTTTGTCAGTTTTCTGAGCCATGACAACAAATGGGAGATGGTACAGCAAATGTTTCACAATTCAGCACATGAACAAATAGCAGCTGTTAATTTTGCTGTCTATTGGAGTGACTGAATGTGTTTCATGTAACATTGATTGTTTTTTTAGTTGTTTCAAATGTAAAGCAAACCAAAAGCTTAAAATTTCCGTGGATAGTTTCTGTTACGATGTTATTTGGGAACCCAATATCAACGTTTTTCACTAAAAAAGGACAAAATACATGTGAAGTCTTGTCCTTCACTAAATGTTTATTTTACTAAGACTCAGACTAAACTATCTTATTAGTTGTCTTGAGTGTCGGCTCTGGGTTTTTGTAAGCCGTGTTCATTAGTTAGTGTCACTGTGTGTCTCTTGCACAGTAATACACAGCTGTGTCTTCAGTCTGCAGATTCTGTCCTTGTAATGTTATTGTGTTGGTTCCAGTGTCTCTGGAGATGCTGAACTTGTTTTTCAGTTTATCACTGTAGTCTGTGCTCCCACCACTATAGATAGTTCCAATCCACTCCAGAGCTTTTCCTGCAGGCTGTCGGATCCAACCTGTGTGCTCACTTGTAACTGAATATGAGACCTTGCAGTCGATGGTCAGACTCTGGCCAGGGCGGACCACCTTGGAACCAGGCTGGGTCAGTTCATAACAGTGAACACCTGTAGATCAAAAATCCAACATTATGATATATATAAACAATATAAACATTTATTAAACATGAAATGTTCTCTTTACTGAGTAACTCACAGGATGCAGCTGCCAGCAGGAGCAGTAGAGATGTAGAGAACATGGTTGGTGTTGAAGTTGGACCTGTGGGATCTTCTCTGTTCTCCACAGCTTAAATAAAGCGTCACAGGTTAATAGAGAGATCCTGGGCGGGAGCTCGAATTTGCTTATGTAGTGATGCATGAGAGTCTGAGCTATTCATGATACGTGGAGGTTCAGCATGTGCAGCACAGAAGACTTACTACTACAAAATTAACTTTTATTTAAGTTGATTAAATCCAGTTAAGTTCAATGTTTCATCCTGAAATGTGTTTGTCTGTTTAGTTACTGGTGGTTGTGGTCTATGTTTTCAGTGGAAATTACAGTAAATGACTGGCTACTACTTGCATTACTTTCACAGTAATTTACTGAACTGAAATAAAAGTAATATTCTGTACTTTTACATAACAACAGTAAAAGTAATGTGATCTGACAGCTAGTCACTTACTGCAAATTCACATATAAAAAATGATGTTTAAATGTATCTAGACTTACAAAATGTGAATAAAGTAAAATATCAGATTAAAGTAATATCACTGCACATATATGTTGATTGTTTTGCATTGTATATACACATAATATCAGAACAGTTTACAGATAGTTTAACATACAATTTGCTTATTATTATCAGTGTAATCCAGTGTAAAATATAAAAATATTTTAAACACCAAAACATGAATAATCAGGAAAAAAAAATACTTTACTATTTATTTTTCTATATGAAATGTTTACACCCTTTAACTCAATATTAATTTCACCATAATTTGCTGTTTCATTACATGAAATAGATTTTATGATGATTTCTTTTCAGAATAAATCGATAAATACTGTATTTTACTGCGAAATGGAATTACTGATAAATGTTATGAAATCCTGGTAATAATAAGTGATGTATATTTTCAGTGCCTCCAGAATCTGAGATCATATCCTGCACACTGATGAGATTCTTCTGTAACACTTAACTTAAAGGGTTTCTACATCACACATTCATAACATCTTACATAAACACTTCATAACATGTTAATGAATGTTGATTTAAACATGCATAAAGCATACGTTTTACATTATATTAATAGGGGCTACCATGTAATGTCACTGAGGTACATTTTTGAAAGCAAACTTCTTAATTTTTCATTTTGAAAAACTGTATTATTTTCAGTGAAATGCCTCATTTTGGGAAAGCCAAAATAAAAATGACCTTGCTTTACCCCTTTAGTCATTAAATGCTTTTTGCCTAGACTTTTAACTTATTTTTAATTATTTGTTTCTTCCTAAGTATTTGCATTTTCTGCTTTGTTATTCTTTTACTCTGTGTCTTCTTTAAAATTGTATTGAGTGGTTAATTTAACAGTCGATACATTGTTGAGGAAAACGTTATTTATCCTCAGTTTAGATGCAGCACTGCTATCCTGAGGAGTAAGTAATGATTTAGAGGTTTTATTTTTAGTGATGTTCTTCCTCACCTATATTATTGGATAAGGCACACGTGTAACTGTGCATTGGTTATTGTGTATAACTGACACTCTTTGAGGCTAAATGTTGCACTGTTATTCTAAGGATTAATACATTCTGTTTTGTCTTTACCTCTGATGGAAGTTAACCCGACTGAAATGCATGTTATCAGGATCTTTCAACTGCAATGCAAAGTAGTCTGCTTACATTCATGTGTCTGTCCAGCATCTAAAGGGAATGGATGAGTTTTATGATCCTGTAAAACTCCTTACTGCAATAAGTCCCACCACCATAATAAGATTCAGTCAGATGATTGTTCATAGCAGATTTATGATTAATTTACTGTCCATATATGCCCTGCGATGGACTGGCGACCTGTCCAGGGTGTATCCTGCCTTCCGCCCAATGACAGCTGGGATAGGCTCCAGCACCACATTGCGACCCAGAAGGATAAGCGGTTTAGATGATGTATGTATGTACTGTCCATATACACTGTAAAAAGTGGCTCATCAGATCTCCTTAAAAATCGACTTCATGTAGTAAAAAGCAATTAAACTAGTTTGATTCATCTTAAAAAAAACTACATTGATTAAAGGAATAATTCATCCAAAGTGTTTATTTAGGTTGAATAAAACTAGTTAATTTACTTTTTACCACATGAAGTCATTTTTAAGTAGATCTGATGAGCCACTTTTTACAGTGTAGACACTCTTCATGTAAAGTGCCTGTGATTCTTTATGGAGAAAGTCTATTTGACACACAACCATAGTTAACAATTCTCATTCAATTATCCTTACAGACTTCAATCCTTTCATCCTTTCATCCCTGCATCTCTGTATCTTCCAGAAAAAGCTTCACTCACTAAAAAATAGGGGCCCAATAGAGCCAAAAGGAGTTCTTTGAAGCAACGAACAACAGCTTTGTTCCACAATTATTGTAAATGAAATGTTCAACATGTGTGAATAATAATATACCGATTACTGTAAAACCAAGATTTTTGTTACACTATATTTAGAAGGTTTACTGTAGATGCTTTGTATTTAGTGCCTTAAAAGTACAGGGCCTGCCAGCAGGCATAGAGTTTTATTACACATGCTTATAACCTGAGAATAGCTCCACTAATTTGCATTGAGGTCTTTGTAGTTACTGAATAATAAACCTTAGTATATCATAAACCTGGGATTTTAAAGGATTAATTAACATCCAACTAAATATATATTAACTGAATTTTGTGTCTAACTCTAAATTTAAATCTAACCAAAACCTGAAACCTAAACTTAGTCCTAATGCTAGTCCTAGTATTGTTAATACACAACTAATTTTCACCAGTTTTTAGTAATTACAGAATTTGTAAATAATTTATATTGTACTCTCAAACTGAAATGTGACTCAAATGTTTTCTAGAACTTTATGTCCAAGTTTTGTGTCCAAGTAAGTACTAGTTTAAATCTACTCGGTTTATTTTACTTAATTTGATGAACTTTAGCTCCACCTGTTGGTTCATTACTGATAGTGCTCATATAAAAAGACTAATGAACGAACTCAAATATTTAATTTCATCAAGTGGTGTTTGTTGTGAATAAATTATGTTCAAATATGAAGCAATTAAACATTTTCATAATTCTCATCTATCTAAAGTAGAGTAATTCATGCATTCACAACAGTAAGTTTCTCTGTCAGAGTCTCTTTGTTTTTCTCTGTAACTGAATGAGGAAGTGTTTTTGTACAGCTCTGTCACTGTTTTCTATCACTGTGACTCTCTTGCACAGTAATACACAGCAGTGTCTTCACTCTTCAGGCTGTACATCTCTAAGTGCAGCTGACCGCTGGAGTCAGATCTGGAGATTATGAATCTTCCCTGGACTGACTGGGAATAGTACATCTGAGTACCATATCCAATGGTAGCAACCCATTCCATGCCTTTTCCAGGAGCCTGTCTGACCACAGCCATCCAGTAGCCACTGAATGTTAATCCAGATGCTGTACAGATCAGTTTATGAGCATCTCCAGGTCTTTTAACCACAGCTTCAGACTGGATAAAGGTTTGGCACAGAACGCCTGTGGAAAAAAAAACAAAAACAAAAAAAAACATATATAAATACATCCAATATTGCAATAAAATAAAACCAGTTCAAATACAGTCTGAGGCTCACCATGCAGAGACATTATTATCAAAAACAGGTTCACAATAAGCTCCATGGCTGAGAGATCTTCCCTCTTGTAAAAGTCAAAGATTCAGTATCACATATAAGAGGAAGATGAGTTTGCATGGATCCTCCTCATTGACGTCAAACCCCAATAAAGAATCTGAGAAACTCATTATACATGGATCATTAGATAAATCAGCCAATAGAGACGTTCGATAGATTGTAAGATGTTTTAGTTTTCACTTCATTTCTTTTTTCAGCAAGTTCACAATTTGACAAACTTTTTAATGTTTCGTTATATTTAATCAAGTGCAGGTTGCATTTTAAGCTTTGAGGAGGATGTATTTAATAACATTATATAATCACTAGCTGTTTAATACTGTTTATGACAAGCTTATATAATACTTTAATTCCTACAGTGTAACTTTCAGGGCCATCTACTGAATTAGTTTAGGGAGGGTCTGTGTTCAGTCTGACTGTACTTAGTTTGTTTTGCATTACTGCTTTGAAAATGTTCTTTTCATACAGCTGGTGAGCCAATCAGGAGGATTTTGCTTAAACACATGAACATCTTTGCTGGCAACAACAGAATTATTTTATCAAGTTATCAGCATGTAGACCCAGAGCTTCTGTGAGCTACTATGTTTTCTATCACTGCATAAAAGATGCACAAGGCTTCCTTTACTGCTGGATGCCTTTTTTCCCACAGTGAGAACTTGAGCTCATTCAGAACAGAATTCAAGGCTGGGCTGCACCAGTTTAGTGTAAGTATATCATTACATTTGTTTATCAAAGTCTTTACTAAGTCTTTTGTCAACACTAGTTAGTTTCAAACCTCAATCTTATTACTAAATTTGGTTGCAACACAAATCCTTAGGTCATTTCTTGACTAATAACCACTAATTAATGCAGATGCCACTTTAACATGATGATATCATGAACCAACCTATAAACCTGCTACCAAACAAGGCAGCAACATGTAGTGACTTCTTCTGTGGAAACATATCTAGTTTGCAAAAGAAGAAAACTGAATAAAACTGAACACTGTGGTCACTGTCTGTTTAGTCTCAGTATTTCCTTGTGACAACCAATTATGCAACTTTTTAAATGATGGTTTCTTGACAACCGACACAACATCAGCTTCAGTTTTGATGGATCAGCAATGGTTGCGTCTCACTGAACTGAGCTGTGGATGTCAGATTGTTTTTTGGAGTTAAAACCAGGGTGATTATTAGAGCTGTAAGTAAAAGCACCCAGTAAAACATTAGTGCTTTTAGCTTTATTAACCAAAGAAGTCAAAGAAGCGTTTTAGCCCTTTTTTGTGGTTTCAGTTGGTTTCCCCCAACACACATCCTTTTAGGTGACTGTGTAAATAGAACCCCAATTCCAAAAAAGTTGGGATGCTGTGTAAAATGTAAATTATTGTAAATAAAACCAGAATGCAATGATCTGTAAATCTCCTGGACCCATATTATATTCACAGTAGAGCATAGAACACATATCAGATGTTGAAAGTAAGACATTTTACCACTTCATGAAAAATATTAACTCATTTAGAACTTGAACTTGAATTAAATAAACTTAAACAGGGCAAGTGGAAATAGCAGTTTATTGAAGAATGGAGGGAGAGGGAAGGAACAAATGAAAGGAAAAGATGTGTAACAGTTATGGATGGGTAAATAAAGGAGCAATGATTTGGCAAATGCTCCCAACACTGAACATGTCAAACATACGCTGTCATGATTTGACATGACAGGTTATGTTGAGTAATTTAGAACTGTCATGTTTACATTGTCAGTAATTGTTAAGTCATGTATTGTAAAGCTGCTGCAGTGATGTTATCATGACTAAATACAGTAAACTTACCACAATTAGCTTGTGTCCTGTCATGATATCAGTTATTATGCCATCTGTCAAGATAATTAGTGGTAATGATAAGATGGTAGCATATGACATCTATCCTGACATGCTTTTTGCATTTTATTGTATTTTATATTAATCTAACTATGAGCAACCAGACTGAAACAGGTTATTAGTGGCTCTGGGTTTTTGTAAGCCGTGTTCATTAGTTAGTGTCACTGTGAGTATCTTGCACAGTAATACACAGCTGTGTCTTCAGTCTGCAGATTCTGTCCTTGTAATGTTATTGTGTTGGTTCCAGTGTCTCTGGAGATGCTGAACTTGTTTTTCAGTTTATCACTGTAAGCTGTGCCCCCACTGCTACCAATAACTCCAATCCACTCCAGAGTTTTTCCTGCAGGCTGTCGGATCCAAGCTGTACTATCGCTTGTAACTGAATATGAAACCTTACAGTTGATGGTCAGACTCTGGTCTGGACGGACCACCATGGAACCAGGCTGAGTCAGTTCCTCACAGTGAACACCTGTAGATCAAAAATACAAATTCATTATTATAAAATATTGTCTCATCTTAGCTATAAACATGACTCACACAGCATTCTGTTAAATGTGTTCTTTACTGAGTAACTCACAGGATGCAGCTGCCAGCAGGAGCAGTAGAGATGTAGAGAACATGGTTGGTGTTGAAGTTGGACCTGTGGGATCTTCTCTGTTCTCCACAGCTTTATAGAGAGTGCCTCAATTTTTAAGTAGACAGAGATCCGGGAGGGGTGGGTATTTGCTTATCTAGTGACCTGTGACAGGCACAGCTATTCATGACCTGCAGCAGAGGGCACTAGTTTAATACAGCGAATCTCAAGAACAACCTTTCCACAGATATGAGCAGCAGCACTTTTATTTAAAACTAGTAAAGTATGTTTCCTGAAGAAAATGCTGAGTGATTGTGCAACTTAAGCATTTGCCTGGTATCACTAGGTTGTTTCTTGGTTGTTGCTGTGGTGTTTCTTATTATTTTCTATGGTATTTTATCTGATTGCTTAGCAGGGGCTATGGTATTGCATGAGTTGCTAAGGTGTTGAAAGGTAGTTGCTATGAATCACTTGTTGCTATGATATCTCAGGTTTTTGAGCAGTTGATATTATATTCCAGGTAGTTGTTATCATGGTATCATGGTTGCTATAGCATTCCAGCTGGTTTCTAAGGGGTTGATAGGTGATTAGCAGATGTTGCTAGGTTGTTAATAGGGCACCGCTAGGTGGTTTCTATGGTGTCTCTCATGGTTGCTAGACGGTTGCTGTGGTTGGACAACATATCCAAAAACACAGTGTATTAGAAACGTTGCCTTGAAGCATCAACAAAGTGTAAGTTAATTGATAATGGACATTCAAAGGGAGCACATTTCATTCACTTATCTGAAAAACACTACTCTGAATATTTAACCAGATGATTTCCAACTCTAATTCCTCTCATATCTAACTCCCACCCCTGTTCATCCCTTGATCCAATGAACTGTACACCTCCCATGTTGCTGTACTCTCCCCATATGCAATATAAGATAATGCAAACCTCTGAAATGAGGTGGTTTTTTCATGCTTCCCTCTGGCCGCACTGTCACCACTTCTCAGCCTCCGGACTCCATTTCCCAGAACGCCCGGGCCAGATCACATGACCCCATGTGACTCCCCACCTGATTATTGATTCAGGTCACCTGTTTAGCATACTACTTATACCCCCTCAGTTTGTCTGTTCATTGCCAAGTATTGTCTTTGTTCCACAGAGCATTACTGAGCCTTCTAGTACGTTAGTTTGTCTGTCCATGTATGACCTTTACTTTGTTTATTTTGACCTTTCACCTCAGTCTAGCCCTGTGTGTATTGTTTGTATTTCTGGTTTGGACCTTCTCTTCTGGTTTATGGACTCTGTTTGTTGGATTGGCCCTATGATTACTGTGTTCTTGATCTGCCTTTTGACCTTGGACTGTTTGACTTTGATTTTGGATTCTCCTTTTGCTAATAAAGCAGTTTTACTTCAGTCTGGTCTGCGAGCGTCCGAGTTCTATCCAAACCTGACAGTTTTAAGTGTAATATTTTTTTTTTTCATGCTAACAGCAACAGGGACACACAAATTAATAATATTGACATAGAAATAGTATTAGCATTATTAATTAATTAATAATTAATATATGTAGGTGCAGAAATGAATAACGTACATTAAATAAAACCCTTGGAAAGTTGGGGTCCATTAAGTTTTGGTTTCACTGACTTCTATGTATTTCTTTCTGTATTCCTGCCTTTATTCCAGCGTCCATTCTTTACAATGGACTTCTTTTCAGTTTTTGATTTAAATTTGCAGGAATATTCCTCCACATCTCCAAAGAAGTCTTCTTTTCACAACCTCAGTAAATCCTAAAATGTTCATTGATTTGTCTTTTTCTTTCCCTCAGTATTAATTTCAGATAAGAAGCAAGAGTGAATCTCAATATTTTAGGTACTGGTTATCTTGGAGTGACTGTTTGGTGGTCTACCAGATCTGACATGGCTGTTAGAAGTTCACTTTTTCTGCATCTTTTAGTTATTTCTACTGCAGTTTTGGAAACTCCTGCTGTTTTACTATTTGACTTTCTCCTTCCTCATGCAAGTGGATGACCTTATATCTACTCTCCTCAGAAACATCTCTTGCACAATGAATAACTTAATGGTCATTTTGATGAGAAATTAAATAATTGAAGGGTAATCTCTTTGCACAGTAGTCTACATTATTCAGTTGATATCGATTAGTTCCCAAAACTTTAGTACAGTTTGCGTTGTCGTGCCATTACCCTCTTTCTTGAGCTGATACAGAGTTCACCCTCCCTCTGTTTATTTTGCCCTCTAGATTTTGTGCCTATAGGAATCCCATCACAGTGAGTCTCTAGCACAGTAATGTACTGCAGTGTCTTCAGGCTTCAGTTGTCTCATGTGCAGGTAGAGATTAGAGCTGTCCTTGGATGCTGTGAATCTGCCCTGAACTGACTGAGCTGAGCTTTTGTCACTTTCAGAATAATAGTAAATGATCCATTCCAGTCCTTTTCCAGGAGCCTGTCGGATCCAGTGCATCCAAAAGCTGCTCACACTGAATCCACTGCAGGCACAGGTCAGTTTCTGGGATCCACCTGGAGCCACTGTTACTGGCCTATCAGACTGTGTGAGAACAA